CGGGGCCCACTATGTGCAAGGCAAGTGCCGTGATCTCTACACTATCTCTCTGGACCAATGACAAATATTATTTAAAACGATATACATATACTCAGTTGATAAATGATGACCTGGTCTTAAAATTTTTTTCTATCATTAGCTAGCCTATGTTGTTTTGGTTCAGTGTTTTGTCGTCTGTTAACTAAGGACAGAGGGACTTAAGGACTATTAATAGTAAGAGGTTGTCTTAAATGAGTGCGGGGACACACACACACACACACACACACACATACACACACCCATTTGTCTATCAGAATAAGGTCCTACCATCGTACTGTTCGGTGACCAAAGGTTTTGGGCCACGACCAGTCTCACAGGAGCTGCCCCTAACTGCCGGGGAAGTGTATGGGTCCCCTGCATGTAAAGTATGTGCTCAGGCATTTGTCACATATGACTGCCCAGCAGTAAATCCTGAGCACTGCAGGGTGTGGCCCAAAACCAAAACAATAAAAAACCCGAAAGATCCTTCATAATCCACACAAATCAATTATTCATTTTAACCAGGTTCTCATTTTCGTTAAGATGGTTTTAGGCATTCAGGATTGTAACATGTTATACCAACGATAGAACGCCCTACAGAGCTGAACTTACCATGGTGGGGACACGGGCGGGAGTGAGGTGAAGGGATACTGATGGATGGTGTGGTGCTGGTGTGCACAAAACCATGTCAATAACAATACTATAAATTACAGTGCCTGGAAAAAATTTTTTTAAAGAAATAATATTCTAAAGCTATTTGTACTGTTTCAAGGCTGAGGTTAAGATGAAGAAATATGGGGCTGAAACGATAGTACAGCAGGTAGAGGATTTGCCTTGCACGAGGCCGACCTGGGTTCGATTCCCAACGTACCGCCAGAAGTAATTACTGAGAGAAAGCCAGGAGCAACCCTTGTGCATCGCTGGGTGTGATGACCCGAAAAGCAAAAAAAAAAAAAAAACCCAAAACAAAACAAAAAAAGATGAAGAAATATATCTGTGTATTCTTCTAAAAAAAAAAGGTAAAGGTAAAGGTAAAGGCCCTCCCGTTGATCGTCGATTTGCTCGAGCGGGACCAGTAACGTCTCCATTGGAGACGTTGTTGTTACTGTGTCTGGCATATCGAATACTCTCGGTAGCTTGCCGGGCTCTCCGAGAGGGGCGGAGGAATCGAACTCGGGTCGGCCATGTTGGCCGCGTGTAAGGCGAACGCCCTACCCGCTGTGCTATCGCTCCGGCCCTGCTATCGCTCCGGCCTAAAAAAAAAAAAACCTCAATTTTTTTCATTAGAATAGAGCTCTGCTCACATACAAACAGGCCAGATTTTCTTGGTACTACAAAGAGTTCTCGCTGAAGTTCTTTAGTATAAAATAAAACTTTTCAGGCCAAAGAACATAAATTTTTTACTCTTGCTGAGCCTCTACCAAGAGTTAAATATAGTTCCAGTCACAGAATGTCCTGAACAGTGACAGACCGGCTCTGGAGGCACACAATCTTTGAAAGTCGCAGAGCGACTGACTGCTCGGCAGGAATGACTTGCAGAAGAGATCTCTCTCTCTCCACATAGGCAGAGTCAAATTCACAATCAGTCGCAAAAGCTGGCCTGCTAATTTAAGTAAATGTCAAGAGCCAGACTTCTCGGCAGATAGGCCTTATTATTTTATGAAAGTGACTTTTTTTCTAGATAGAAATTCCAACCTGACCCAGTCCGACTCAACTGCATACTCTTAACTTGTTTTGTGATCTGGGGGGTAGACATGGCAGGGTGGTCCTATCCCCCCAGACCTCACACCCATCTTTTTAGTAGTTATTCTCTAATCAGCATCAGCATGGATTTGATATATTTTTTTGCCACTACCTCACACTACCCAAGTAGTGCCTTTACAAACCAGTATGACTTTGGTTTTGATTTTAGCTGACTTGTTCAGTTTTTAGAACATCTGAGAACAGGAGTTTAATTCTGAGGGAAAATCTAGCCACATAATTTAACTTTGTTTCCCGGACTCCAATAAGTCATGTTTCAAAACAAAACAAAACAAAACAAAACAATCAAAAGCCAGGGAGAGACAGTCCAGTGGGCAGGGCATTTATTTGCTTTGAAAGCGGCTGACCCGGGTTCGATCCTGGCACCCCGCATGGTCTCCCTGGCATCAACAGCAGAAATCCCTGAGCACAGCCAGGTGTGGCTCAAAAATCAAACTAAACCAAACCCAAGCGGCCACTTAGAATCTAGTCACAAAAACACAAAGCCAATTTATATAATCAGGTTTACATAACGGAGCCCGGTTTCCCCACCTTCCTCTGGCCTGCCCCGGGCCTCTCCAGCTGGAATAGGGGTCACCTCCAGAGGACCTTAAGGTCCCACACAGCGCAGATGTGCTGGCAGGCCCAAAAGCCTGACATTTCAGTGTTTGGACAGCCACCCTGGCTATCCCCAGCAGGGGCTGAACGTGGGGTGCTCGGGCTGACTACTCCAACTCCTATGGGGTACTTCAGAGAGCAAAGGCCACAAAAAATAATGAATCTGCGGCTTGCCAGGGTCACAGTCACTATGCTGAGAACAGGACCCACGTACACTGACAACAAGAGAAGTCAGAGCCACACATTCGTTCTGCATCTTTTTTCAAAAGAAAACGTGATGGCAAGACTTCAAACAAATCCAGCAGCCACTTTCGAGTTTAGATTTTCCTCATTTAGACCTTTGTGCTTATTTCTTGTTTGGACTCACACCAAGAGATGGCAAATTTCCTCTGTCCCGTACGTAGGTGAGGAGTCAGAGGAGCAAGAATGGAGCCACGGTTGGCAGAGAGCTGAGCGCCCGGGTTCAGTGCAAACGGTGGAGTATGAAGAAAAAGGCGGCAACTCGAGGAGGGGCCGAAGATGGAGCCTTATCACCAAGGGGCAGCAACCCCTAGCCCTGCTCTCAGGAGTAGGAAGGGACACTCACAGATTCTCCACTACGATGTCCACCAAGTGGTGGAAGTCAATGGAATAAATCTTCAACTAAAAATTCATGTTTAGGGCCATAGGGATAGTACAGCAGGTAGGGCAGCTGCCTTGCTTATAGTCGGCCCCGTTCTAGCCCTGTACCACCTATGGTCCCCCGAGCAGGGCCAGAGCGGCCCCAAACGACAACCTAAAAATTCATGGTTACTGGATAAATTCAGATACTCAAGGAAAAAGGTGGATAAGAATACAGCTTTTCTGGGGGGGATAAAAAAGATGATTGAACTTAAAAAAACAAGAGACCAGCTTTAGTATGTCTAGGAGGTCCTAGAGATTGGCAGCCCAATTCATTTAGCAGCTGAAGTAGAAACAATCTCTCCACAAACACCAGAAGTTTCCTCCTATTAAGATCCAACTGAGATTAAGGACCAGGTACAGTGTTCAGGGATTCATCCGAAAAGTATTAATCACGGGAAAACTCAATCCAATTTTCGACGGTGTGGGGCTGGACCCGCAGCACAGTGGGCAGGGGCCTTCTTGCAGCCCAGGGCACAGGGCATCCCAGAAGGTCCCCTGAGTCCTGCCGGAAGTGATCCCCGACCAAGCTGAGTCAAGGAGGAGCACTGAGTACCACCAGGCATGGCCCCAACACAGAACCAACAAGATCAACTGTCAACTGTGTCCACGTCTGATGTTCATCGTGAGGTTACCTGCCTGAGCTCTTTTCTGAAACGCGGTGACTTCAGTATTAGATTATTTTACTTTCAAATAGAGGGGCGAGGGTGGGTGACAACCGACTCAAAAGGCAAAGGTTATCTCCCAAACATTGGGACTGTCGCCCAGAAGCAGCAGTTTCGGAGAAGCACGTGCCTGCCAGCTCCCCAAATAGAAAGGCTCCTGCGCTACTGGTTACTACACAAAGGCCCGAAGCAACATCACAACGATTTTCAAAGGGAAAACCCCGGGCTGGAGAGAGAGCACAGCGGGGAGGGCGTTTGCCTTGCATGCAGCCGACCCGGGTTCGATTCCCAGCACCCCATAGGGTCCCCTGAGCACCGCCAGGGGTGATTTCTGAGTGCAGAGCCAGGAGGAACCCCCTGTGCATCGCCGGGTGTGACCCCAAAAGCAAAAAAGCAAAAAAAAAAAAAAAAAAGGGAAAAACCCTCTCCACGAAGGTAGTGATCAGCCACGGCGCTCCCATCCCTAAACCGAGGACTTTGGAAAAACTGCCGCTAAAACAACCCGGACCAAACTCTCTCCTCCTGCAACGCATTTCCGAACACCTCAACGTTAGGACCCCCCCCCCCCCAAAAAAAAACAATGTTTTCAGATGGTGGCTTACAAATGCAAGCCCACCCCCCAACCCCAAAGCCAAGGGCAGCATCAGCTCCCTCATTCCTTCCCGGACTTCACACGCAGAAAAATCCGCGAAGAGGCCGAAAACGGACCCAGAAGGCCCAGACCCGCGCGGGCTCTCCACGGTCCCGACGAAGAGGAGGGGCGGGGGTCCAGGGGCGGGTGGGGGGCGGGGGTCCCGGCACCAGCGCGCTTTGCTGCTCGCTGCAAAAAGAGGGGAACATAGAAAAAAAAAAAAGGCAAGACAAAGTCCGTCCCCAGCAGCGGCGGCGGGGGCGACAAGGGCTGCCCGGGAGGACCCCCAGCCAGGGACCCCAGCCCGGACCCCAGCCCGGGACCCCCCGCAGGCACAGCGCCAAGCCCGCACTTCTGTTCACTGAGGTTTTGGCCTCCGAGGGCTGCCCGGTCGCCTCGGTTCCGACCCGGGCAGGCAGCCCCCTACTCTGGGGAGACCCATCAGCTCGGTCCCGACCCAGGCCGCCCCCCACCCTGGAAGAAGGAAAGTCTCTCTGGCGTTTTGTCTCCAGCGCAGCCCCCTGCCCGCGGCCGCCCCGTCTCGCCCCCCGCCCCCCCTTCGGTCGGGTCGGCCCGCGGAGGGGCGTCGGGGGGCGTCCGGGGGGCGGCCCGGGCCCGCGGGGGCGGGGCGGCGGGGCGGCGGGGGCGGGGGTCGCGCGGCCGCCCACCTTCTCGCACAGCGTGCGCACTTGGCCCTCGTTGAGCTGCTTGCACTCGTTGAGCTGCTCCACCCACTGGTCCAGCTCCTTGGTGAAGGCCTTGTCGTCCATGGCGGCCCGGGAGTCGCCCGCCCGAGCGGCCGGCGGCCCGCACTCCCGGCGCCGCCCGCCCGCCCCGCCGCGCTTCCGCCCGCCCGCCGCGCTTCCGCCCGCCGCCACTTCCGGGGAGGAGGCGAGCGGCCGTGCCGCGGGCTGCGGGCCTGCTGCGCCTGCAGCGCCCCCCCGCGGCTCGGAGGGGAAACGCGCTGCTCCTCGACTGCCCGCTCCCCGCGCCAGCCAGCCTCTCCTCCCAGGGACTGCCTTCCGCTCCCTCTTTGTGGTTGGTTGGTTGGTTGGTTGGTTGGTTGGTTGGTTGGTTGGTTGGTTGGTTGGTTGGTTGGTTGGTTGGCTGGCTGGTTGGTTGCTTGCTTGCTTGTTTGCTTGCTTGCTTGCTTGGATTGTTTTTAAATTTGAATGATGCCCATGGTGGTGGAGAATGGGCACTGGTGGATGGATGGGTACTTGATCATTGTATAATCGAAACCCAAGCACAAAAATTCGTGAATCTACAACTGTAACTCATGGTGTTTCACTAATAAAAATAAAAAAAAATTGAATGATGCATTTATTTTTATTCAATCCAAATTGTTACCATTTAAAAAATTTTTATTTTGTTTTTGTAAAGTAGCACTGCACTGTCTTCCCATTGTTCATCGATTTGCTCGAGCGGGCACCAGTAACATCTTCAATGTGAGACTCATTGTTACTGTTTTTGGCATATCAAATACGCCATGGGGAGCTTGCCAGGCTCTGCCATGCGGGCGGGATACTCTCAGTAGCTTGCTGGGCTCTCCAAGAGGAATGGAGGAATGGAACCTGGGTTGGCTGTGTGCAAGGCAAACGCCCTACCTGCTGTGCTATCGATCCAGCCTCTTTTGTAAAGTAGTTCACGATAATCGGTTACATTTAATATTCAAACAGCAATCCCACCACCATTACATCTTCCCACCACCATTTTTTGGATGTTTCCATCCCAAGCCCCAAAGTCTGCCCCAAAACAGAACTGAAAAATTTTATTTTGTATTGTTTTTTATGAATAAATGTCAGCACCCTCGTTGACTGGCATCTTGTCCCCTGCTGGGCTTAGTCTCCTGCAGGGCTTTCTCGGTGCTCGACAAAGCCCAATTTTCTCGGGAAATTGGGAAGCCTGAGACTTTCCTAGACAACATTGTCTATCAGACCTTCACACTCTCCAGTGGAAAACTCGCAATATGTTTGAGTCAATAAATCAGTTATTTCTAGTTTACCTAGTCATGGGGTTCAGACAGCTCCAGAATATTGTTATCTGTGTATATACTACACAGAATGAGAATACTTTTATATGTGTGTATGTTTATACACACATTTGGGGGCCACACCTTACCATCTTACTCCCCCCCAGCCATGTTACATATATTAATATTTAAGAATACGGGTCAGCCTTCCCCACAAAAGAGAGAGAGAGAGAGAGAGAGAGAGAGAGAGAAGGAAGGAAAGAAGGAAGGAAGGAAGGAAGGAAAGAAGGAAGGAAGGAAGGAAGCAATAAAAGTTTACTAAAATCCATTAGCCTTTTTGGGGTCCTGGGGATACACCTGGCAGTTCTTAGGGCTTGCTCCTGGCAGTGCTTAGGGCTTAGGGCAGTGCTTAGGGCAGTGCTTAGGGCTTGCTCAGGAGTCACTCCTAGTGGTGCTCAAGGCACCATATGAGGTGCTGGAGAGCAAAACAGGGTTGGCCTCATGCAAGACAAGCACCATACCCTCTGTACTATCTCTCTGGCCCAAACCCATTAACTTTACATTAGTATTGATTTTAATTTTATGAATAAGAAGCTGTGACTAAAATTTCAGATAACTCAAAGGATACTGCAAATAGGTTAATTAAAAAAAAAAAGACTACGGGCCACTTCAAGAGCCATAGTACAGCATACAGGGTATTTGCCTCGCACGCTGCCAACCCAGGTTCAATTCCTGGCACCAGTATAGTACCTCAAACCAAACCTTCCTTCTCCCGCCATGAACTAAGCTGTAACCTAAAAGTTTAAGTTACCCAGAGTCTCAGGAACCAGTTCTTGCTAATGTCAAAGGTGCTCAGGGAATCCAGCGTAGGAGGCCACTTTCCTACTGTGGGAGGCTCCCTACTCTTTCCCTTTTTCTAGTCTCTTCCATATTTCCCCCCTGAGTTCAGGGGTCAGGGTAGCGGTTTGCAACCTCCCCCCTTCTCTTCCCAGGTCATCTCCACCCCAAGTTTAGAAGGACTCTCTGGAGTTACGAAAAGCTAAGACTGGTCAGCCTGAGGCTTGCAGTTTGGAAGTAACAACCTCTGACTGAGAGAAGCTACACCCTGCGTTGAGATGCAGGGTCCAAGCACAACCCCAGGAACGCTTTAGCCCTGATGAGGCCCTAGACTGGCCTTCTCAGCCTGGCCTCAGTCGATGGCTGTTCAGTAGTGTCAGTGAAAGGCTGTGAAGAGGAATCCTCTTTGACGTCCAGCCTCCTCACCCCAGTGGCTCTGCTGAGAAACACACCAAGAACACAACTGGTGATGCTTCTCTGTCACCTTCTGTTGATGTGAGACATGTTTGTCGGCCCCTTCATCACACAGGTTCATGTTCTCTCTCATGAATATGTATGTGTTTCCTGGAAAACCAATAGAATGTAAATGAGCTGTGACGCCACTGTCCCTCTGCTGGGCCTAAAAACAGACTCACACCCCTGCCCCGCAAGTGCCTCTCTTTGAAGTTTGTCCTCTAGCTCCTGCAAACTAGCTTAAGTGGTTGATTTTTAGTTTTATTGTTGTTGTTGGATCACACCTGATGGTGCTCATTACTCCTCATGGATTCATGTCCTCAGAACAATCATCTCATCTGCATGCTCACAGGAAAGGGTTTCCATAACAAAAGAACAGAGAAGAAAGGGTGGGTTTGGGCTGGTTGACTCTTAGACAAAGATGGTCTTGCCATGGTCCTGTCTGGCATCTGGAGAGAGACTCACCACACTCTGCTCCTCTGCTCAGCTCCAGGAACATTCAATGAGGAATTCTCTAGGTGTCCTTGAGGTTGTTTTCAATGGCTAGGCAGCAAGATTGTCAATTTTGACCACGATGCAGGTCCAAGAATACTGGGTCAGTTCTGGGAGTATCTCGGTCACGGACATAGGCCAAGGGTCTTCCAAAGGCCCAGAACCTAGGCCTGACACTCCTTCTGCAGGGCAGATGAGAATGATGAACCCTGTGAGCCCAACTGACAGTAACTGCTGCTCAGTGCTTGGGGAAGCGCGCGGTGCCAGGAACCAAACCCTCAGCATTAAAGCATGCTTTCGCTCCATCTCTCCAAATCCAGTAGCCCTCAGACTGAGTGGACACAGACACGAGGTGTTATTGGGACATTTCTGGCATTCCGTCTACGAGAGGAAGAAAGACATTGGGAGAAGCTTGCATAACACTGGGACTTAAGAAGTGGAGGAAGGTAAGGAACCTCAGGTTACTGTAAATTGTGCTTATCATTCTACCTAGTATGTCCCAATGAAATGGAAGCTCCCCTGAACTCCAATGTCTAATCCCCCTCCCTCCACACATAGAAATACACATTCCGGGTTCAAGTACAGTTACTCACATGCGCATCCAGCCATCCAGGATTTTTCTGTCTCGAAAAAGGCACAACAGACATAGACCTTGGAGCCTTTGGGTCACCTGACTTTTGGAGAAAGCTCTTCATTCTGCAGGTCTTCCCCTGACATAGGAAAATGTAAAGGAATAACGGAGTGAAAAAGAAGAATGGGTATTTTGTTGGAAAAAGCACCACGGGGATATGCATGAGGGCAGTACTTGGAATAGTGGACCGTGTCCATCCCTCAGCCTTTCCAACACATTCAGAATGCTTTCAAGTGTCACCAGAAACATTCGACGCGGAATCATCCATTCCACTGTATCACTTGGATTTTATAAAATGCCTAAACTGTGCTCTTGTATCTGAGTATCCCACGACACAGGGGCTGAATGTGGGAACACTTACCTTTCAGCTGGAGCATTAGGCAGGAGAGCACCATCCAAGCAACAGTGGCCATGGGAGGCAGCATTTTGTCTCACGGGAGATGGCTGTCAGAAGCAGGCATGGAATTTGGGTCAGGCAGAAGGGTGTTAAGAGGATCCTCCCAGGATGGGAGTTGCATGCTGAAAGTAGACTAAAGACCGAACACAATTGCCACTTAATGCCTCTTTTGCAAACCACAGCACCCAAAAGGAGAGAGAGAACAAAAGGGAATGCTCTGCCACAGAGGCAGGGTGGGATGGGGGGGGGGAGATGGAGGGTGGGAGGGATAATGGGATCATTGGTGGTGGAGAATTGGCACTGGTGGAGGGATGGGTACTCGATCATTGTATAACTGAAGCCCAAGCACAAAAATTTGTAAGTCTACAACTGTACCTCATGGTGTTTCACTAATAAAATTTTTAAAAAAAGATATGAAATGGTCACGAAGAAGTTCAGTTTCCACCGGGGTATTCTGATTCATGGAGAGAGCTGTTCCTTCTGCAAATCTTGACCAGGCATAGAAAAATTTAAAGGAGTGAAAGAGTGAAAAGAATAATGGGAATAGGCATGGAAAAGATACCCAGGGGATATGCATGAAGCTAGTACTCGGAAGAGTGAGCCATGATAGCACTTCCCAGTTACTAGTACATTCAGAATGCTTTCAACATGACCTAGCATCGCTAATGAGGGACCATCAATTATACTACGTAACCTTGTTTCTGTCATAAAATATGGAACTGCTCTCCTAGATCTGAGTATTGTACGACAGGGGACTGGATGTGCGAACACTTACTTTTCATTTGAGACTGGAGCACTAGGCAGGAGAGCAGCACCCAAGCAACAGTGGGAACAGCCAAGGGATGCTGCATCTTGCCTGACTGGAGGAGGCTGGCAGGGGCAAGGATGCAAGTGTGCTAAGGTATTCGGCAAGCACAGGGTCCAGTCCCCTCTTTCCTTGTTCTAATTCCCAGGAATAAGTCGACCTGACTGGCACATCTCTCTTTCTGGTGAAAGAACAGGCTGGAGTCTCTTGAT